CAGGTATTAGTGGCATAATGGTAGACTGGCATGCGCTGCATCCACCACCAGGCATTGATAAAGATGTCCTCTTTGTCCCTACTGCAGCCTCTCAGAGTGAGGACTCGTCCTTTGAAGACCTGACGGAGGAGAGCAGGAAGTTATCCTGGGCGAACATCGGAAATCTGAAACCCATCTCCAGCCACAAGATCCATAAAGAGTAAGTCAGGAGGCATCCAGGTTGAACTGCTAGTCCACATATAACTGAGAAAAGCTCTGGTTCAAGCAAGAGGAAGTGCATGCAAAGCTAGTATCGGGTCGGCAGCTGCAGAAAATAATATTTGTGAAGACATTTGTAGAGGAGTGTGAGTCGAGGACAGGTTTCTGCTTGAATACATCTTTGCTAAATGTACTGGTGTGACTGTTATGTTAACCCCCCCCCTGCACGTTTCCTTCTGGATGCGTATGCCCTTTCTCGTGTAATTGAGTCTTTCTGTGTCACGTGCAGGGCTGTGAGCGGCATCGCTGTGACCCAGGACGGGGCAGCTATATTCTCCACATCCCAAGGTCAGGAGAATATATAGATCAGAGGTGCAAGAAGGACCAAAATACTATTCTTCAGTTTAGTTTCACCTGTTAAATTCTGGTCCATAATGGTTTAAGATTTAACTCTGTAACAAATAACTAGTTTGTGTAATTTTAAACGGGTAACATCATCCCTAAGTTTCATTATGGAGTCATTTGAGTGGCATTGTGGGAAGTGGTTTTATAGCTGCTCAATGTATGGCCTCTTCTCCCTCTAGTGGCCCGTTGGGGTTCCTCCATTATGGTGCAAAATGATGTCATCCCAGTAAGAACCTCACAGGGGATAAGACCACACTTAACGGTTGAATTAGTTCATCCAAGTAGAAAGGGAGAACAAATAGCAGATTGGTTCAAAAATCCTCTGATTAGTTTATTTTAAACTGAAATGGGTGTTTTCTCATTGGTGGGGAAACAAACTGTTGGACTCAGCAATACTCAGCTGTATGACTCTTTGTTCCAGACTCAACCCTTAAAATGTTTTCCAAAGAGTTGAAGGACTTCCAAAGAAGCATGTCCTTCTCTAACATGGTACAGTATGCAGCTGTATTTACGTTTCACCATCTCTCTAAACATTTTGAACTCTCTGAACAATAAACGATGTGGCTTTCTTTCAGGCATTATCATCATGTCTCATGTTGGCTGATGGAAAAACGGTGGTGTGTTCTTCCTGGGACAACAATGTGTATGTATAATATCCAAGGACAAATGATATCAAAAGGATCTGCGTGACCACACACTGATCCATATGTCTCTCTTCCCTTAGTTATTTCTACTCCATCCCATACGGCAGGCGGCAGGACACTCTGATGGGCCATGACGACGCTGTCAGTGAGATGTGTTGGTTTGATGAGCGGCTGTACACGGCGTCCTGGGACTCCACCGTCAAGGTAAAAAAAGTGATGCTGTTTATAAAGCAATGGATTTATCAGGCAACATAAATCTCAGAAAGATTGAGAGTCGGGGAAGAATGGCAGTGATACAACATGACAGCAATGTGCATGAATTCATTTTGTGTTGTGTCTAAGAGAGAGGTGACCATTGCTGTTTGTTTCACAGGTCTGGCAATGCCCTTCTGATAGCTCGTCCAATCACAAGAGATCCCAGTTTGAGTTACTGGCCGAGTTGGAACATGATGCTGGGGTGAGTGTGGACGCTCGCACTGCATTTTGAAGCACAAGTTTATTATTTATTATCGCTGTCATTCATAAAGAGGAACTGAAACGTGTTGGGATCAAAGCCCAAACACTGAAAGGTAGTAGAGAGCACTCAAAACATGCACGTGTGTCTCCCTGCAGGTGAACACCATTGGTCTGAATCCAGCGGGCACCCTGCTGGTGTCGGGCTGTAAAGACGGGGCGGTCAGCCTCTGGGACACCAGCAGCTACACCTCCCTGCAGCAGGTCCACTGCCACACGGGGACCATCCACCACACGGCCTTCAGTCCAGGTGGGTGTTACACCAGCCCGCTGATTTTCACCATGGCTCTTCTGTCATTTTTAATGAAACTATGCCTGGTTTCTACAAAATGACTACTATATAGGAAAAAAACGACATAGTATAGTTTGTTGAAAATATGGAAAAAAGGCATAAGGCGCTTTCTCACCAAGTACTTTTCCCACAAAGGTTCCTGAGAACTAAGTACAGATCGCGTTTACACCGGAAATGAGTTCCTGGGGGTGGATTAGGCAAATGAAGCCGCTGACGTCACTTCTTCTTCTTTTGCTTTGGGTTTACTGGCAGGCCGCAAACAACTTCACGGCGTATACTGCCGCCCAAAGTCCCCGGAGTTGGGGACTGGCTTCAGTAGAAGCTGCTGGGACTCCCAGCAGCTTCTACTGAAGCCTTCCGAGTAAAACGGCCAGAACCTCCGCATCTCCACCGCTCCCATGCTTTATTTTGTGTTGTCATAAGTTAGTCTCTCTGCGTTTCTGCACTGGGCTAATGCTAATGCTAATAATGCAATGCGAGGATAATAAAATGGCGGCTTCAAAAACGTTTTTGGGAGTTTGACGAGGCGTGGTTTGCATTCCGCTCAGCCAATCAGACATAGGAACCTTTTTCTCCCACGAAAGTCCCTGCTCTCTAGCAGGGACTGAAAAGGGGGTAAAAAAGGTTCTCTAGAACTAATTTAGTTCCTGGGACTTTTTGGTGTGAACGCAACTAAATCGTAGTTCTGAGGAACCTTTGTGGGAACGCGCCTATAGGATCGTTTTTGTCATTCTTATCGACATACTAAACTGTTTGTTTTTTGTATTTTTTCCACATAGTATACTATGTCGCCATACAATAAAACTGCATAGTATAAGCATGTCAGAAATCTGAGAAATAACGTAATGGCGAAAATGTGAAGAATAAAAAACGGCATAGTATAGTGTTGAAAATATGATAGATCTATACATTCCAAATCAACACTTGTGTCCTCAGACAGCAGACACGTCCTGAGTGTCGGCGCTGACTCCTGTATGAAGGTCACTGACGTCCAGACAGGAATGGTGATATCGTCTGTGAAAGCTGAGGAGGAGCAGAGGTAAGAGCAGGAGAGGCAGATTTCAGCTCCTCAGTCGTACGCAACTGAGTATTTGTTTCATGTATTTGTATTGAAGTAAGTTTATGTTCTCCTCGTATGTATATTACGTTGAATTAGTCTCTACGTTGCCTAGTCTAGCCTGGGCGTAAGCTCTTAACAACTGTAGCCCATTGAAATAAGAACATATGATATATGCTGCAGCTCAAAAGGAGTTCTTGCTGTGGGTTCAGGTGCTTCTGCTGGGACGGGAACTCGGTGCTGTGTGGGGGGGGGTCAGGGGACCTCCTGCTGTGGGACCTGCTCAGCAACACAGTCACCAAGAGGATCCCCGCACACTCAGGTACAGCTACCTGGTTAAATGTCGATGTGCATGATTTGTACCAATAGCTCTAATGCTAAATGTGACATCAAATAAGTAGGTCTTTTCTGTGTACTTCCAGAAATGATAAGGTCATGATGCATATTGTGTTCCTCCTGTAAAAGGTGCTGTCACGGCCATGTGGATGAGCAAGCTGTGCTCCACGGTGATCACCGGCGGGGAGGACAGACAGATCGTCTTCTGGAAGCTCCAGAGTTAAAGGACGCTTTCTTCACAATCCATCTGCTGAGGAGATAAAAACCTTTCTGGACTAAACCGGCCAAGTATCCTGTAGACGATGACTATCTGACTTCAAACAGAGACTCACTAAACTGTTGAGGAGCTGAACACGTCCAGTATCAAAGCAGTTTTCTCCGAGTCTCTGTTTGAAGTCAGATAGTCATCGTCTACAGGATACTTGGCCGGNTGTATGACCTTTTGTTTGGTTTAGCATTGAGAGCAGCTAGGAGAAAACTGCTCTGTGATACTGGACGTGTTCAGCTCCTCAACAGTTTAGTGAGTCTCTGTTTGAAGTCAGATACTTGGCCGGTTTAGTCCAGAGAGGTTTTTATCTCCTCAGCAGATGGATTGTGAAGAAAGCGTCCTTTTAACTCTGGAGCTTCCAGAAGACGATCTGTCTGTCCTCCCCGCCAGTGATCACCGTG